GTGTAGGAGTAATAGTTTCCTATTTGGTTTGATCTGTATAATTTTGATGCTAGTTTTCTGCGTCACACTTCATGTGGGTCACCCTGTATTGTATTTTGCCATCAATGAAGGGGGCATGGTAAATTTCTGGCAGAAAAAGAGCTAAGAGGTCTAGGTGAAGCCACTCACCAGCACACACTCGTCCAAATTCCTAGCTGGACACCAATGAAACATGCCAGTCGAGTCGTATTTCATATCCTGCTGCTCGAAATCCTTTGCGAAGTCGACACCTCGACCATCCGGTGGAATCGACATCGAGTTACGTCGACCCGATGACGGCCTAGGTAACAGACATAAACTCATTCAAGTTTTCTCGTAGAGCCCCGCTTCAGAATAACTGCTGAGAACAGGGCCAAGGGACCGGTGAAAAGGTGAGGCGGCGCTGTGTGAGACAGGTTGCTGCAGCCCGTAACGAAAGAAAAAGGCAAAAATTAAAAGCTCCTGAACTGGATGGAGCACACTGCACAACCTGAGGAGAGTGATGATATGAAATCACAAAAAAGCACTACATTATTTGAAGCCAGTACAGCTCATGCTATTAGGTCTTCTTGCCAATGCCTCTTCTGTACAGCCTCGCTATGCAATGAATTACCATCCAAGAGAAAGATCCTCGGTTGGGAATATGTGGACTGAACCAAAACGAATTGTCCTCAGCGAAGGTTAGCGGGTCAGTGGGAATGTCCCTGGGTAAATGGATAAACTGCAGACGAACAAAAGAGGTGCGTGAGATCACAAAAAGGATGGAAACAGAAAAATCGAGCGTCACAGCCGCGTTCTCGCATTCGCAGTGCGGCTATACTTAGCGGACGCCTGCCTTTGACAACACTGACGGCATAAGGTAGGAGTATGTAAAGAAAACTCATGTGAGGCGCTTAGGTCCCCAATTTCTTTAGTCATACTCCTTTCCTTCCTAATGCATACGTGCTTCTCAATGTTTTCATTAGGCAGCTGGCCGCCCCTAGCCGGATCTGACCTTATTGTGCACTCCGAAATGAAATGGACATCTGACGGAACATCATTAACCTCAAATCATTTCCTAAAGCCCTCTTTCTCGACTCACGTCATCCTCCGCTATCAAATGGAAGCAATCCTCCTATCCAGAGAATTTCATTTTGAGAATTTCACTGCAGAAGTCTCTGGGGTCCCGTTCATACTATTCGACTACGTGTGAGTCGCTTCCGTATGCGAGAACGCGACGTCGCAACGCCGCTGCGGGAAAGCATCGCACGATATCGATTAGATTAAGGTATTCACATGAGTTTCTTGATCTCGTATGCGAATCGCATCGATTTCGCCGCTAGGTGATTATCACTGTTGGAGCTGAAAGGACAGTGTTAGAAGTGAGTGGAAAATAGTCGAGTCGAAACAGCAACCACAGGACTGCGCCGCAATCAGGAGGGGGCGGAGTTTTCCCACAGTGGGCGGCGCCGTCCATATGCTGATGTCTCGGAGGAAAAATACCAAAAAACAGAGCTAACTAAACAGAAAACGACATAGTAGTGTCAATCGATCTCTCATGTATCGAATGTTTCCAAACAGTAACTAAGCAAGTCAGTAAGTTAGTCAGTCAGTCAGCATTCGTTCGCTTGAAAGCAGCCCGACAAACCTTGAGCGACCAAACTGCGATCTCGCCGCCTACCTTTGCTCGTTCAGCAGCCGAAGTTGTACCTGAGAGCCATGGTGAGGAACAGACGGTGGCTCGGGAACGTGTCGAGAAGCGACTGAAATGATCAGAGCTCCAACCAGGATAAGTTTAAAGAGATCACTAGCTTCACTGCACGACATGTTAAGAATTATAACCGAGAAGGACGAGGGTGGACGGTGGGGTGAGGTCTATCGTGCATGCGACATTTGTGGGAACAGATATTACGAAGTGAATGGGAACGGTAATCTAAAGAACAATTTGCTTGTTGTTAGGGACGGGTACACCCTATACTGCACAAAATTTGGGTCCGGGAACTTCTCCCCTAACACGGCGTCGCAGACGCCGCACCCGCCGCCTATCGCGGGATTGCGATGGAAGATTGGAGCGCGCAATTTGTGAGGTAGGGAGTCCTTTAATTATTTGAATTGGCTGGTTGCTTCCTTATTTTCAATGAGGTATTGATCGTCGTTTATATAGGAGNAGTCATTTTAATTAATCAAGACTAATAAACATGAAAACGAAAAAGAAACAGAAGAAAAAACGATTGAATCTAATAAAAAAGCAAGGCAATCAACGAAAAATTCCGCGTCCTATCGATTGGCGGGAGTACGGTAATTGCAGTGACATTTGCCGCATGCCGCAAGGGAGAATGCCGCGATAGGGGAGAAGTTCCGTTACCCCACAAAATGGTACTCACGCACACACACAAACTACGGTTGCGTCTATACTCAGCAGACTTGCAGCTGCCATCGATGGCTGCACCGCCAATCACACAATCCAGTATTTTGGCTTCGTTTTTGACAGGCTTCTAACGGAGAAATGTTAGTACAGCAGACAATAAACATGAATGTCTGAGGCGATGCTTGGCCACAAATGCTGCAGGGGTAGTTTTGCCGAGTATAAACGCGCACTACATCGTTCTAAGAACTTTTTAGAGAACAGCTACTGTCTCTAGAGTCACTCTCGAAATCAACCACTTCCGCTTAGAAAACGTGGACGGTTCATTACCGTCGTTCTGGTTGAATAACGCATCAAACCCTGAGTAGTCTGCAACGTAAGATGATCACAGCAAACTATGCATTCAGAGCAGAATGGCGATTGATAATCGATCGATAAGCAAAAGATCTCACCACGTAAGGCACTCGGCTTGGTGCTACGTCGAAACAGAGCCACTGAAACGAACTTGTCATCTCGATAATACCTAATAGGAACGAAAGGCATTCAAGATGAATGAAATGGTGCTTACGATTTTTGCATTTGCACTTTTTGATGAGCGTCACATCCCGAATGTCCTCGTGGCATTGTTTACACCAGAAAAAAGCGCTAAACGACAAAAATGTGCATCACTGCTACGGAAATGTTGGGTTGTGAGAGAAGTTACTGTATGTTGAGCCCTGGATTTTTTATAATAAGTGAATGAGAGGTTCCGCAGTATGAGTAAGTTGGGGTGGCCCGGAAGCTCGATGCTGCCGTAAACGTTTGGTTGGGAGTTTGAGGGGGTCCTACTTCGCTACATGCTGCCATTCAGCTGCTCACCCCCCAATATTCATGGTTTCTGCGTGTATGGCAAAGAAGTTCGCAGGCAATTCAGATAAAGTAAGATAAAGCTGAGGGTCCAGCAATGAAGGTGAAAAAAGGTGAACAGGTAGACGGACAATATCGAATTCCTTATTACTCAATAGGTTAGAAGCCTCCCACACTGACAATTTTTCAGCTATGTCCTCTTATAATAATAAAAGCTAGTTGCTAAAATAAAGGTTCTGTTTATGCAGTTCATGCAGTATTTCTTGGACTTTCTTCCCAGTTCATAAACAGTTAAATACCTACCCCTCGAGAGAAATTCTTTTTGACTTACTGGAGGAGAACTAACTATCTGGTTTCTTGTTCCCCAAGGCTGGCAGTTCAGGTAGCCCACTCTCAGTGGATGAGTTTCTTTTCAACCTCTACCCTAGTACAGATACTAATATTTCAGCGGACTGTCAGTGTTGGCTCAGCTCAGCTCGTTTTATCTTGATCTTGGTGGGCTCTTCCCTAGTAGTATACTAGTCCTCACTTTCCTCTGTTGGCGCACTCAGTTGGGTGTACAAAAAATTAGATAAATAAATAAAGGAATAATTAAACCATTTCGAGAGGAAATCAAACAATTAAAGTAGAAAGCTGTATCCGATGGATGAGAGCTGGTATAAAGATTCCTATACAATAAAATTTTATATAGATTGAAAGGCTTATACACATTTGGTGTCATTTCAGGTATAACGCTGAGCTATCACACAGGCATGATCATGAGATCAATTTCCGGATATGCACCTCCCCAGGTACGTGAACCTTTCATCCCTACAAGATCGCAAATATGGCGCCTGACCTGTCTTTCCAATCTGTGAGGATGGAAGATTCATGTACCTGATCGAATAAAAGCACTGACTTGTGTGTTGCCAGGTCATCGCACATCCTTTCACGGGCCACAAACCTATTCAAAACGCCACTACGATTTCAAATGAAAATTGGATGCGAGGGTGCAACCCGAAAAAAGATTGATTGACGCCCATAGGCTGTTTCGTTTATTTGGGCTGAAATGATAGTAACCCAGATCCGTAGTGAAAGTCGTTTGTTGGTTCATCAATCGAGCTATATAACGAACGTTATGATGGGATAATCTCGATACCACCACGAAATGAATCATGCAAAGAATTCAGACAATTTTTAATTCCACTTGGGTTCAAACAGTATTGAAACGTAGAGTAAGGCGCACTTTAAATGAAAACTAAGCGGACCGAAATTCAAGCGAAAACGGGAACGTTGGAATCGTAACAATATGGCACCGACAACCACGAGAGATTTCCTCTGAAAACGAATTAGCAAGACGGAAGAGTGTGTGGCGTAACCCGTGACCTTGCGCCCGTGATTTTGAAATTGCGGTAAAGTCAGGAAGGAATTGTACGCAAACGTCAGTTTTCGGGAAGTAACACCCTGGCAACCTAGACCAAGGTAAGCCTCTTGTGTACGAGCCTCGGGGTTTCCCAGTCTAGAGAACGGTCTTGGGTTTATCTTGCCCTGTGTGACAATCATCAATCTCAGTGGTTTTTCTGACCCTCAGGCTCTGAAGAAGGCGAACTGTTAGCCTTATAAAGTTCGAATTTTGGAAAGGCTAAAGCAAGCATATATACTAGTCAGAAGAATTCCCGTTCAAAATTTCGGTAGCAACTCACCGCTTGACTTCATCAGCACTTTGAGCAATGAAGAATCCCTGGGTTTGAGGTTGAATGACACACGATGGTCCAGGATTTATAGCGATGTTGCATTCACGATTCTCTTCGTCTTTCAGTTCGATGGCAAGCAAAAGCAGACCAAGACGTGTGAATAAAAGGCTGAAACGGAGAAAAGTGATGCATGTAGAAGCAGATATGCCATCATGGAGATTAGTTTTGTAGGCCCATGTAATTAGGATCAGTCAGGAAGTTAATACATATAAGACTCGGTATGGAAACTCGGAAAAGGGTTAGTACATATGCAGCTGTAGGGGTTAGCGTTCACGCGTTTCAGCTTACTCGGCTGCTTCAGGGAATGACATTCCGACGAATGAATGTGACAGTGTATCGGTGTACATTTCCATACCAGCCCCACATAGGTACAGATTCAGCCAGTCAGGAGTATCTCGTGACTAAAATGTGGAAGCATTACAGCATAATAGGTGGCCCTGTGCAGCTTGATTTGAATTATCAAGTAGGACATGTAATTCATCGTTCAGAATTGATGGAAGTGGGAATGGTTAAAAATCATAAGTAATCCGATACAACATGCGACATATTCATCAGAAGAGTTGACCGACCGAGAAGAACGCTAGATGGTGGTTTGCATATTTAGATGATAATACTAATAGAAAAAAAGGAACAGCAGAAAGACAGAAGATCGCTATCTACCGCTTATTATTTTGTCGAATTATTTTGCCTTTTTTATTATTTTGTGGAAATCGTCCCCATTCATATTTTGCATGAACCACTTGACAAGCTCCAATTCATTACAACACCTCCATTGCAACAGTTGCCTTCTCAATCTCAGTGGAGTTTAAACTTAACAAAAGAAAAAAACAAAAATGATCTGTGCCATTCAACCAAACACCTACGATGCTACGAAAGTTTCCGACATCTTCCTATGGTTGGGATGAGTTTAGGCCTAATTTTGAGGTGGTAGCAAAAACATCCAATACGGGCGAAGCACCACTGCAAGACAAACAGCAGAGCCCTTTATAGCTCTTGGTTGATGTTCAGGATTGGCGATGCTGAAACTTACTCTGCTGCTTCTGGAAACGACATGCCGACAAACGCTTGTGAGAGCTTCTCCGTATACATTTCCATGCCAGCACCACGTAGATAGTCGTTCAGCCATGATGGCGTGTGAGGTGACTGGAATGGGTTAATTCAACGGCACGCAGTTAGGACACACAAGGATATTACCAAAGCGTAAGAGATTGCCATCTTGAATTAGTAGGAGGGAAGTGTTAGAAGCCAAATTGAACATGTACAGTAACATTGAGGAGTACTAAGGAAAGAAGAATGGGCTTTCGATGGAAGAGCAGACACATGAGACGACAAGGAAAATGCCTAATGTGGTGAAGAAGGCGAATTCTTTCGACCAGTGTTTCTGATCCTCTTTACAGAAATGCTTCCAAACTGCATTTTTAATAACGTTAATCGTCAAAGTGTGCGCATGTGTGAGTAGTTTTTGGAAAGGAAGTGACACCTTTTTCTCCTCGAGCACTATTTTTTGCAGGATCACACCTGACACCAATCAATCAAGAGTTGAGAGACTCAGGTTGAATCGTTTGAGCGAGTTAAATTTGTTCATTGGCGTCTGCGTCAAAGACTATATTAATGGAGCTCTAAAGATTATAAGCGATCCTTAAAAAGCTATATAGAGGTCAGTTCAAGAGAAGTCTGCTACAGATAAGGAGAGGTACCTGAGCAGGACACTTAACAAAATCGGCGATTCAAACTCTTTTACAAACAAAAGCTCAGACTATAAGAATCTTTGCCTTGAGCAGTACTGAGAAAAAATTCGGCAAAATCTACAGGTATCCCACTCAGATACTTTAATAAGGAGGTATTTCGAAGCCAACCCAGTGAATTATTGAATATTAGATCCTTACGATGAGACAAAAACACTTGTGAGAATTGTATGCAAATTGGCTTCTCTGATACTTTTTGCTGTAGGACCATAATTGCGGTCATTCGATGAAAGGCACATCGTTTCAGCAGATTGATCAGGAAGAAGCGAAATTTGATATTGATACAATATTAATTGATCTGAATAGCAAGTGAGTTCTTTTGAGCATGTATAACACCCTTCAGAAACTCAAGATAGTTCTCTATAGCGGTCTACTTATGGAATTCCCTTTCATGCATTTTCCAATGCTTCCAAGGAGAATTGCGTGAAGGACACACTCTGGGGAGTAAAACATCATATGTGAGCGGAATTGCACATAGAATTCAAAAAAATCAACAGAATCAACTACGAATCAGATTACCAAAAATAAGTAAGAAGTGGACGTAGTTACAAGGAGCAGCAGAATAGCGTGCGAATTCATTTCATAGATTAAAAGCTATGATGATTTCTGAGTTTATAGTTTTGTATACTTCGCGGAGTCCCATTTTACTATACCTGCCACAGGTACTACCAAAGCGGGCTGAGCTGGTGAAGAAGCAAGTGGGACACACCCACGCACGCCACATACGCACTCATTACGCCACTACGATTCTGAATGGAAGTCGAATGCGGGGGCGCATACCTCAGAAGGGATTGATTAACGCCGAAATACTTTTACGACTACAACACTATCAAACCTCGCCTTCATAAAAGCCATCTACTCGGAAGTAAAGCTCAACAATACAAGAATACCCACAGTGCCATACTCATACCCGAATTCTAGTTATGAACCGTTTTGAACGGGTGTGATCTTTTTATAGTCTTTATAGTTTTACAGGAAACACCAACTTGGCAATAGTCGAAACTTAGACCTTCATGAACTCTTTTTTGAAAGTTCATATTAAGGGAACCTGTTTTACTCAGACACTATTTGGGATTCGCATTGACAACTTGAAAAACTTGCTGCTCCCCAGTAAAGGTCATCGAACTAGCACTCCTAGCACACGCCACTTTCATCATACTGGATAGTATTTTCATCTAATGAAGAGTTCTGAAAAGGCTGCGATAGAAAGCTCTCAGGAGGAAGAATGATGGTTAAAAGTTAAAATAGATGGAGAACTCCTAGTCCTGATAGTGAAGAAGTTCATGATCGATTAATTACGAAAGCAGAGCTTATCTCGCGCGACGATAAAATTAAACACCTCATTCCAAACTTAAATGGAGTGAGAACAAAAAAAAATACTGCACAAGTCCTGCAGGAATACCAATTCAAGACGCTGGAACTCACCGTTTTGAATGACCTCATGGCAAACAGATTCGCCATCATCGTTGAAAAGCCGGGAGCGAGGCACGATTGGGCAATGAAACCGAGTTTGAGCTCAGCCAAGCAAATCACGTCGTCACCTCGTCGCCAGTCCCATGATGGGATGTTCAAGAGATATGCCTGAATGTCTTTCATTAGTTCTAGACAGGATGCTGTCAGATTCAAGCGAGCTGCAAGTTGAAGCCAGCTCATTCCACTCAGCATCTCTCAAATTTTTATTACTATCTATTTTATTTATTCACAGGTGGCATTCCACGCGCTCTCAACGGATCATGAAAACAGTCATGAACTATAGATAAATGCTTGGAATCACAAAGGGACTCTAAAAGCTAGAGTAAGTACGGGCGCCACTTATGCCTGGTACCTGCAAGGTGCCATTCATGCGTCGGTACCTGCTCCTCCCGGCAATGGTGCCATGCAGAGCAACTTCCTTGAACCTTGGCAAACCAATGGGGAAAAACGAACAGTAATAGTATTGCAAAGTTACAGAAAGAGTTCACGATAAAAATGCTCTCTGAGGTTTCTCCCTAGAATGAATCTAGGGGCACAACTATGTCATATGTGGCACTGTTGGGTCAAAAATGGCCTAGATGGGGGGAAAAGAGCTCAAAGACAATGGCCCCTTACGTCGTCATAGTCTCGTACCATAGTTTCGTACACCATCTGATTCCCACTATCAGAATCCTTATCTTTCTCCAGATTCGAGGTTTTTCGCGCTTTCTCCGCCACCGATTTTTGGGATTATTTTGCACCACCACTTCAAGAATTCAAAATATTCCAACTTCAAAAATGAAACTCGAAATTATTGTCAACAGTGCCCTCAAAAGCGGGTATAACTGAGACACGTGAACTCTACTAACGCTACTCGGAAGAGAGGCCCGAAGGGTATCTGATACGGGCTTCTAAAAGACACAGTCCCCGGATTTGCGAGAAGAAGCACAAATTGCACTTGCTTTGCTCCCGACCATTAAACGAGCCAGTAATTGACCACTATTCGGACGAATTAGAAACGGATTCCTTGAAAACGGCCAAATTGGCACTGATGAGCGGCAGGAAGGACATGTTTGTCCCACGGTGAAATGTGAGAGCAGGAATAGGAATGAGCAGGGCATCGCTGTACGGCGAAAAGAAGATTATGGTGCAAAACACCAGAAATGTAACCCGGTGTACTCCGGTGAACTTTTCTTCTGTTAAATTGCTTTGTATACTCTCATACTCCCGGAGGGAGTTGTCGGGAGCTTGGGTGACGCTCATTTTGTCAGAGGTTTTCTGAAGTCAGTTCTACATATGGTCAACTGGATACGGATTTTGTGCTAAAAGTTCACAGTTTTTTGTGCAGCGTCGAAGCAGATTCCTTGATAGACGCTTTCAAGGAAAATTACGTTGAAACCGATGGTGTCTCAAAAAGTTCCAGAGGACTCATATCCATCCACTACTTTTGAACAAGGCAGTAATGAGCATTTAATGCTTCCCTTCAAGCCCTTCTATTGGCAGAATGCGGGTTCAAATATCCTACATCTCCGAGGTGGAGTCGAATCTTTATCTCTAAAGAGAATTAATCACCCTCATGCTTCCTTTGATTAATAGCGACTAGAAGATGGGCCATAGAGGCATTCCGACGTGCTTGAAGGAAGGTTGCGAATGGCAATCAGAGCGGACGTGTTCAAGAAAATTTGGCTTTGAA